CTACCGCACCTTCCACATGCTTGAGCGCCTGCTGCACGCGCCGCCCAAGCTACTTCACCAGCTCATCTTCCAGATCCCGCCCTCCCGGCAAGCACTGCTCATCGAGAGGTGCTCACCTAATGGGATGGTGATGGTGGGGATGCCCACCGGTCTATGTACCCAATTTGCAGGCTGAAACTGAAGCCCCAGAGAAGGATGGGACTTACCCAGGCACTCAGATAGTTGATAGCAAATGGGGGCCAGGCCCAGGGCCTTCCAAGCCCCCATTCTCCTCCTTTGTGGAGGGTCAGTGGTGTCCTCTGTCTCCGCAAGGTATTACGCTTTTGATGAGGCCTTCGTTCGGGAGGTGCTGGGCAAGAAGCTGTCCAAGGGCACCAAGAAAGACCTGGATGACATCAGCACCAAAACAGGAATCACCCTCAAGAGCTGCCGGAGACAGGTGGGCCCCGCAACCACGCATACACAGCATCCCGTCTACAGTTCAGCCTTTCACTCCCTCCCTTCGGTCACTGCCCCAGCTCTAACCTTGATGGTGTCAACAACTTCATACCTAGTGTCTTCTCGCCCTTTTTTGCACCTTCCAAGCCATCCCATATTCTATGGCTAGAGTGAGCTTTCAGAAGCCCAGCTCCGATTGTGGCTTTTCCCTGCTCGTGAACTTTCTTTTTTCTGAGTTGGAGGTCTTACTCTCTCGCCCTGTCTCCCAGGCTGGAATGTAGTGGCACACTCACAGCCATCATGGCTTCATTCTGCTGGGCTCTGGCGATCTTTCTGTCTTAGCCTCTCAAGTTGCTGGGACTACAGGTGCACATCACACCGCTAAGATTTCTTTATTGTTGTTGTTGTTGTTTTCTGAGAAAGCAGGATTTATTGAGAGGACAGAAAACCTCCCACAGTGAGAGGTAACCTAAAGGGCTAGCCCCCGGCTAATTTTTAAATTTTTAATTTGTAGAGACAAGGCTTTGCTATGTTGCCCAGGCTGCTCTCAAACTTCTGGGCTCAAGCAATCCTCTCGCCTCAGCCTCCCAAAGTGTTAGGATTACAGGTGTGAGCCACCGTGCCCAGTGCTCATAAACGTTCATTGGCTCCCACTGCCTCCTGGATAGCCGTTTAATGCTTGGCCTTGATCTTCAGCCTACCCTGTGATCTTGTCCTTGCAGACCTCTCTAGGGTTACATTTTTCCAGCCCCTGGCTTTCTTTTGCATGTGTTGCTCTTGGGAGGTACTGTTCTTGGCCACATCTTCCCTTTGAAATCCAAGGCAGAAGGTGAGATGCTACCTTCTCCACAAGTCTTTTTGGTGGTACCACAGGGAAGTCAGCATTCTAGACTAGTGATACATTTTCTTTGTATCTCCTGTGAGCTCCAAATGTATGGCTTAGTATTTGCTCATCCTTCAGTTTCTGGGTCTCAGCCAGGACAATCAGTTCCAGCTCACGCTCGTGAAGATTTAGAGCATGGTACCAAAATTGGGTTGGATTTAGAAACAAGATGAAATCTACATTTATCCAAGGCAAGATGGCAGAAGCTGATAAACATTTGTTGGATTGATAACAGGTACTAATAACTAATGGTCGAAGGAGTAACAAGCTCTAAATCGGCAACTGCTGACTAGATAGGTGGATAGGTGAGAGAAATATTCAAATCAGCAGTTCAGGTGAGCATTCTCCGACCAGTCCTCCCTCCTCCCGACTGCCCTGCAGTTTGACAACTTTAAGCGAGTCTTCAAGGTGGTGGAGGAAATGCGAGGCTCCCTGGTGGACAATATTCAGCAGCACTTCCTCCTCTCCGACCGATTGGCCAGGTGAGGGGACAGCCATCTCCTCCTGCACACTCCTTCCCTGAGCCCTGAGGCTGGTCCACCTACCCCACCTCAACCTTCTTGATCTCCTAGCTATGCTGGGGGGGTGGTCATCCCACTTCTGGTCTATACTTTGGATCAGACTGACCTGGGTTCAAGTCATAGTCCAGCCACTTCCAATTGGGCTATCTGAAGTACCACCTGTACAGCCTGACGCTTAGGGAGTGCCTAGGACATGGTAGCTGTTATCCTGTGGTCTCCCACTGTATCCCTTAGGATACCTGGGCTGGAACCTTCTCTTTGCACAGATGAGTAGGCCTATAGAGAAATGACTTGAGACATCACGCAGTGACTTAGCGCAAGGAAAGAGACCAGACTCGGATGCCCAACTGAGGCTCCAGGTGGGAGTTACTTGCTAAGAAGGAATTTCAGGCCCTGAGAAGCGCCTTTTCCCCTCCTGCAGGGACTATGCGGCCATTGTCTTCTTTGCCAACAACCGCTTTGAGACAGGGAAGAAAAAACTGCAGTATCTGAGCTTTGGCGACTTTGCCTTCTGCGCTGAGCTCATGATCCAGAACTGGACCCTTGGAGCCGTCGGTGAGGCCCCCACTGACCCAGGTGCCCGACGCCTCCCCATCCTTTCAGGCCTGGTTCCCTACCAGCAGTTCCTACCACAGACCCCCGTTCCCAGCATCCTTTGCTGTTCAGGGTGTCCAACCAGGCTGCCTCTGCTCCTAGTCCATTTCCCTCCCCCCCACCTTGTCTGCAGACAAAGGGCTTGTTGCCTTTCTATGGTCTGGGGCATGTCACACCATCTCTCTGAGACTCTGTTTCTTTTTCTGTCCTGTGGGGTGCAATGAGGTGGTGGGTGAGGAACGCTCAGGGTTTCACTGGAGGGTTTTTTTTTGTCTGTTTGTTTGTTTTTGAATTGGAGTCTCACTCTGTCACCCAGGCTAGAGTGCAGTGACACGCCCATGGCTACCGCAGCTCCACTTGCTAGGCTCAGGCAATCCTTCCACCTCAGCCTTCCAAGTAGCTGGAACTACAGGCGCGTGCTACCACGCTCAGCTTATTTTTTGATTTATTGTAGCGACGAGGTCTCACCAAATTGCCCAGGCTGGTCTTGACCCCGTGGGCCCAGGCAATCCTCTCACCTTGGCCTCCCAAAGTGTTGAGATTACAGGTCGAGCCACCGCGCCCACCCACGGGAGTGGTTTTTAATCACCTACCCTAACTCCCTTCGTGGGCCTCATGCAGACTCCCAGATGGACGACATGGACATGGACTTGGACAAGGAGTTTCTCCAGGACCTGAAGGAGCTCAAGGTGCTAGTGGCTGACAAGGACCTTCTGGACCTGCACAAGAGGTGACCCTGGGGGAAACCACGGGGCAGGGCCCGAAGGAGAGGCTCAAGTGGCTCCAGGCTTGACCCTGTCTCCCTGCAGCCTGGTGTGCACTGCTCTCCGGGGAAAGCTCGGCGTCTTCTCTGAGATGGAAGCCAATTTCAAGGTCTGTGGCCCCACACAGCCTCTGGCCCTTGGCAGCCTCCGCCCGCCCCCTCCGCTCCGCTCCGCCCCCTCCGCCCCGCCCCCTCCGCCCCGCCCCGCCCCCTCCGCTCCGCTCCGCCCCGCCCCCTCCGCTCCTGCCTGGGTTGACCGGCAGGTGGTGCTGCTGCGCCCTCTGCTGGCCTGGGCGGGCAGCGGCTCCCAAACAATGGGGACTCGGTTGACTGGGGAGGTGGGTAGACGTGGGGGGGCCTGCCCCTCCCCCAGCTTCTGTGCTCAGTCCCCCCGCCCCCCCCCGGCTTCTGGGGCAGAAGGCAGAATTCCCGGGACCCCCGCCCCACAGAACCTGTCCCGGGGGCTGGTGAACGTGGCCGCCAAGCTGACCCACAATAAAGACGTCAGAGACCTGTTTGTGGACCTCGTGGAGAAGGTGAGCTGTCCTGCCCGTCGCCCTCTGGTCCCCGACCTGGCCTGTCCCCGGGCTGTACCGGTGCTGAACGTTCCCTTGTGCCCACAGTTTGTGGAACCCTGCCGCTCCGACCACTGGCCTCTGAGTGACGTGCGGCTCTTCCTGAATCAGTATTCGGCGTCTGTCCACTCCCTGGATGGCTTCCGGTGAGAGACCCTGTCCTCCTGTCCGACTTGGCCTTGCCCTCCCACCGACTTGGTTCCCCGTTCTGCTACCCTGGGGGTGGAAGTCTCCGTGGACCGAAGCCCTGGCTCCCCCTCTTAGAAGCTGGGTGACCTTGGGCAGGTGACCTAACCTCTCCATGCCTCAGTTTCCTCATACGTGAACTGGGGATAATAATTAGAAGAATCACAAGAATTTTAAGAGGACTAAGTGCATTACGGTACAGAAACAGCAGCATCTCGGACTGGTGAGTGCTGAGTAAATGTCAGCTGTCGCTGTCACTGTTACCGTTGCAGGCACCAGGCCCTCTGGGACCGCTACATGGGCACCCTCCGTGGCTGCCTCCTGCGCCTTTATCACGACTGAGGCCCCTCTCCACCACCCTGCCCCGCCTGACAATAAAGTTGCCATGAATTTGGAGACTGATCTTTGCTCCAGGGGGAGGAGCCCGTGGGGCTGTGTGTGCAGGCGCGCGTGTAAGTCTCTGAGCGCTCTGGAGTTCGCGTACTGGGATGCGCGTGAACGCCAGCCCCTCGGGGACGGATGTATTGAAACGGTGTCTGTGCTCGACCCATCCGCCATCTCCCCACCCCTGCTAGGCCACTCAGAAGCCAGGGTCTTGTCGTGGTTTATTCGAGCCGCATCAAGATTGGGAGGATGGGCAAAAGGCTGGGGGTGGGGCTGGCGAGGAGGTGGGGTGGTAGCCGGAGCTGCGGGAGGAGCTGGGCGGGTTCAGGGAGGGCAGGAGACCAGGGATGCCTTAGGAGGGACCACACGGGCTGTGAGCGGGTACTTGGTGATGCCGCAGGTGTTGCTACCTCGGTGCAGCCGGAAGTAGCCCTAGGATGTTGGGGGACATCAGGGCCAGCAGGTGTGGAGAGGACTGCTCTGCCCTGCCCCCTCCCCCAGGAGATCCCACTCACCTCCTCTCCCCAGTGGGACCCCCAGGAGTTCTTCAGGATCCAGTATGGGAGAGAGCGGCGAGGGCGAGACTGGGAGGCGACTGTCTCTGCCGGCATCCCTTCCCCCGGCTTGTCCCTGCCAAAACCCACCAGCAGGACGGAATGGTCCACAAACCGGGGGTCACAGGTGTCGGGCGTGACCTTGATCACACCTTTCTTGTATTGCTGCAGAGGGCAGGGGCAGAGGGCCTGAGTCTAGGGCCAACTTCCCTACATGCCCTTTCACCACTCCATCCCATCCCACCTGCAGTAGCTTCTTGTTGATGGTCACAGTGATGGGACCATGGGTGGCCAGGTACTGGGCAATTCCTGGGGGGGAAAGGTGTCATCAGGGCCTGCCTGCCTGCAGCCCCTGCTCTTGGCACATGGGCGTGTCAGCCTTCCCCCCTCCCCTCCTCGCCCCATCTGTCTAGCACCGTGTCTGCCTCTGCCCTGGGCCTGTCCCCCGCCCCCCGCCCGTGTCCCCGCCATGCCCGCACTCTGCTCGTCTTCCTGCAGCATGATAAAGTCCTGGATCCAGGCCACCTTCTTGTACTTCTTGGCCAGGCACCTGTGGGGCTCCACTTTGCCCTGGAACGGGTAGTCCCTTTCACTGGCCAGGCCACCTGGAGATAAGACAGGAAGGAGACTGCTCTGGAACCCCGTTTCCCTCCCCTCCCCTTCTCCCCCACCTTCCCACAGCTACCCAGAGCCACGGGCACTCACTATTGTTGAGGACAGTTATGAACGCATCCCAGATGAAGCCACCCTGGCAGCCATCCCCACAGCGGTTACAGTCGAGTAGCTCTGGCACAGGAAGGGAACATGGGTGACCAGGCCCCCAGGCCTCTCTCCCTGTCACACGCACCCTCTCCCAGCCATACCCTGCACGGAGACTTCCACGGGCTTGCTCCTGATGCTCCACAGGGCCTCGATGTTGCCTGCTGCCGCTATGGCCCAGCAGCAGGCGCAGTTTTTCTAGTAGACAAGAGGGTGGGGGTGAGTCAGGTGTGCAGACCGTGTTCCACCTCTCCCACCATCTGCTGGGTCGGGCTAGGTGGGGGCAGATACCTGGTTTTTTGTTTTTGTTTTTTTAAGTCAAGAGTCTCACTCTGTCACCCAGGCTGGAGTGCAGTGGCACGCTCACGGCCACCGCAACATCGACCTGCTGGGCCCAGGTGATCCTTCTGCCTCAGCCTTCCAAGTAGCTGGAACCACAGGCATGGCTAATTTTTGATTTATTGTAGAGACGAGGTCTCGCCCGGGTGCCCAGGCTGGTCTTGAATCCCTGAGCTCAGACAGTCCTCTTGCCTCTGCCTCCCAAAGTGCTGGGATTACAGACGTGAGTCACTGTGCTCAGCTGTATACCTGGTTCTTGATGGGCGAGATGACATCAGTCTTCTTCCGCCAATCACAGGTGTGGGGTGTCGACTCCCCCAGCCCTTCATACTCTGCCATTCTGTTCATGCTGGGGACCCCTCTGGCTGTCTTCCGATTCCCATAGAGCTGGGCAAACTCCTCCTCTGGGGGACAGACAGCACCACCAAGGGCAATTTTGACCCCTTCTGCTCCCTATCCGGCCATCCCAACTCCAGCCATCCACACCCTAGACCATTTGGGTCCTGTGATACCCCGGTGGATAGAAAGGCAAGGATGCTGAGGCCTGGGGGGCCGAGCCCCTTGCCGGGGTACGTCTCCTGCACCTGCCGCCATGAACTGGACTGGCACACAGGCCTGCAGGGTTTCTGCCCCTGTGCTCTGTGATTTGGGGCAAGCACCCAGGCCTCTGGTCCTCAGGGTCCCTCACTGAGAAGTAAACATGGAAAGTTCTCGGTCCATCTGTCCATATCCCTGGACATTCTGCTCCCTCGCCCACCACCTACAGGCCAGGAGGGTCCCTGTACCTGTGAGGTCACTGAATGGAGTCACCCCAAACTCAGCTGTGCCCAGGTCCTCCTCCTGCAGTCTCTGAGCCTGGGCCAGGTTGTGGGCAAAGATGTCCAGACGGCGCGCGTGCTCTGTTCCAAGAGAGAGTTGTCCTGGGCTGGCTCCCAGGCCCACAGGGGCAGAAAGATGCTGGCTAGGCATCTTCCCCCCAGGTGAGCATGGCTCCTCTCCGCTACCCCCACAGGGCCCTGGGCAGACATCTAGGCCAAGGAAGTGGTTACCCAGCCCACCCAGGTTAGGTTTTCCCCAGAGGCAGCAAAGGGGACATCTCTGCCCACCCTGAGGGGTAGACAAGCAAGGGGTCTGGAGACAGTGACTCAGGAGGAAGAGGTGGGTGGCTGGAGACCGGCTTCCTGCCAGGCCACCTCCTTTACACCTCTGACCACAGGAAGGGAGCTGGAACGTGGCAAGGGTGGGGGACGCTGGGGCTCAGGTCCAGGGCGCAGACAGCCTGGGCTAAAAGGTGCCCGCAGGCCAGCCCCCATGGGAGAGAGACCCAGACGGGGCAGGAGCAGGGCTGGCTGCCCACAGGGGTAGAGAGGAAGTCCCCACCTGGGGACAGAATGGGTATTTGCTGGCTGAACACATGACAGATGGTGGTCCCCTGCCTGGAATCACGGGAAAGCGGCCATAGAGCCAAAGGATTCACTATGGCCATGGCAGGGGGTCCCCACCCGCCCTCCAGATTCATAACAAAGAATAAGTCTGTACCCCCTTGTGTATTGCGGACACCAGGGAGTGATCCCAGGCCTGCCGCTGTCCTGCTGAGGAGCCCTAGGCCAAGCCTATTCCCACTCTGAGCCTGAGTTCATCTGTTAAATGAAGCGGGTGGAGATGTCCGTCCCCCAGTACCTGCTGGGATCAAGTAACTCCGGTTAAACTGCATCTGGAACCACGCAAAGACTTCTTTCAGCTCCAGTGGCCGGGGACCTGGGTCCTGGCAAGGAACCGAGAGCAGAGATGGGGAGGGGGTGGGGGGGATCATTTCGGGGACCCTACCACAGCTCCCAGCTGTGCAAGTACTGGACTGAACACCAGCTCGCGAGCCTTCTCTGTCTCCTCGTGTGGGCTTGGGCACCGCCCACCCCTCCAGCCTCATTGCTCCCGCTGAGAAATGGGAACAACAAACCAGTTGTTTCTGATGGGTGACCCCAGGCCGGGATTGGCAGAGGTGAGGGCAAGGGCAGCAGGTTGGGGGCACTTACCTGGGCCCTAAGGGAGCCCCTGATGCCTTGGGCTAAGTCTACCACCAGCAGGGCCAGGAGGCAGAAGAGGTGGGCAGTTGGTGCCATGGTGGTGCGGACTATAGTGGAGGAGGCAGGAAGCCGAGCAGATCAAGCTGGGGGGGGGGGGCGGAGCAAGAGAAACCACGAAGGGGAAACCAGACTAGGTGGGGGGACCCCTAGAGTCTGCGAGCTGCCTGGGCCTTCAGGCTTTCGTCCCTCCACCTGCCTACCTGCCCATGTCTCCAGCCACCCCTTTTTCTTTGTTCTACAGAGGCTGTAGGCCCACGCTGTTCTGGGTGAGTCTAAGGATACAGAGATGGTCTGGCCTTAAGGAGATAGAGGAGGCACACTGTAAGTGGGCCGTGAGAGTATCAGAGATATCAGTGCCACGAGGGGGAAGCCCAGGGGGCTGCAGGAGTCACAGGCCCCCACCGACACAGCAGAGACGGAGGGTGGTCTGTGCCCTCAAGGGAGCCGAACCTCTCTTGTTCGTCCAATGAAGCTGTCAGCTCGGGGACCACCTCCTTCCAGAAGCCTTCTCTGCTTTCCCAACCTCTGGTGTAACCTTTGCCTAGAGTCCTGCTGCACCTGTGCCCTGTTGGCATCTGTCTCCCAGATGCCAATCAGAGGTGTCTGATTCACCCGTGTTCTCAAGTGCCCAGGATGGGGGCAGGCACGTGGCAGGCTTGATGGATGTTTGAGTGGGGCAGGGGAGGCAGAAAGAGAACAGGATGAGGTCAAGAGCTTGTTACAACTGCCTCGGTTCTAAGTAGAGCCTTGGTCTGGGGACTTCCCCTATGGGCCTCCAGGCTGAGAGTGCCCAAGACCAGAGAAGGGCGTGAGAAGCTAGCTTTCTAGGGTCCTGTGGGGCAGGAGAGAGGGCGATCTATCCTGGGATTTATTCACTCATGTGCTTGCTGCCTCATTTCTTCACTAGGATTCGTCCCAAAGTAGTGAGACTCCATTTTGTCTTACTGCCCTGGACAGTAAACCCGAGGACTTCTCTGAAGAGTGGTAACTGCCCTTATTAAAATGCAGTGGACAAACCTGGACATGGTGGCTCATGCCTGTAATCCCAGCACTTTGGGAGGCCAAGCCTGTCCCGACCAGCGGGACAAGTAAAACGTGGGCACGAGGAGGACTACCTGCTGCTGGTGAAAAGAGAGAGAGAGACCAAGAGAGAAAGAGACAGGAGACACGCAGAATGGAGGCAAGACAGTGTTCTGATCAAGCCTCAAAATTTTATTGTTAGGTGATTGCTTATATACATAGCAAAGAGGGGCGGGCTGAAATAGGGCGTGTGGCGGCTTATGATAGGAGGAAGAGTAGTGGTGGTATGAGGAGAGGAGGTGGGAGGGGTGTTGCGGTTTGGCGCGCACGGGCTTTTCGGAGGACAAAGAAGAAGGCTTATATAAGATGGCTGCTATTTTTAAAATGGCTCCCAACATCTCCTCCCTTTCTGTTCAAAGACAGAAGGGATGGTGAGCATTAACCGGGTGAGGGAGTAGGGGCCCGGCTCCTCCCGTGGATTCTCCGAGTCCACCACCATTGGGGCTCTTGGTATCTTTTGGGGAGGAGAGGCAGAGCCAGAATTGATTTTTGAGAAAATTAGAAAATTAGATACCAACCTCTATGCAAGCCAGGCGTGCTCACAGGGATACCCAGAGGAGGTCGAAGTTTTTGTGACCTTCCCTTGTAATACTTTGTTCTACACTCATCCCGGTGCTCATACCCTGTTTTTCGTAAAGGGAGAGGGTAGACATGCCTCTGGTTATCATGTCGTCCCCGTAGGGAGGGAGCCGTAGTAGTCCTTTTCCGTGACTTCTTCCAATGCCAGCCG